AAAGGCTTGCTTGGGCCTAGCAAGTTTACTTGTTCGAGTCAATGCACCAGCCACAATCCTTTTAGGAAATGGGATGTTATATCAACCAATTTATAATTGTAATAATTTGAACTTAATATTAAAAATAAAAAATTTAGTTACCAATTTCATTTTAATATGAATTCGAACAAGAATTGAAATGATCTAAACTTTGAATGATTCAAACCTAGTATGACTCAAACCTATTGTGATCTGAACACAAGATATAATCTGGTCTAAACCACATCCATTTGCCACCTCTAAATTTGAGGGAAAGGAAAATACAAATCAAACAAATAAGAAAATTAGCTTTGCAGTCTTATTGCATCAATATAAAGGAAAATGAAAAAATCTTTTTTACATATCAATTTACTACACCCGTAATTCAAATAAATAAAAAAAATATTGAGTGAAATTAATTTCCTTTTTAATTTACTTTTATTTATTTATTTATTTGCTTCATCAATATCAAATTTCATTGATTATCCATACAAAATACATCAGTGGATCTCAATAAGCATACCCTTTCAATATATTGTTTTGTATCTCAAAAGAAAAACGGAACAGACCACCTGGTGGAATGTTCAGTTACATTTTCTCAATTTCCGCCACTGTGGTCAGTCAATGCTAGTTGATGACTTTAAGCTGTCAGTTTCGTTGGTTGCTCTTTCATGCATGACTGAAACCAATTACTACTCCTTTTCAAGATGGTGAACTTCCAAATTTATGCAAACCATACCTCTTACGCCTCTAAGCATGTATGTAAATCCAATGCTCTCTCACGTATTCTTGCACTGAGGGTTTACCTTTGGAGTTAAGTTCCCATCATACATTATCTTCTTTCTTATCATCTAAGACCACTCCTCAAAAGGTCTTTAAAAGTTCTTGATGTCTTTTTTGCTCCCAAAGAAAAAGTTGTCATTTGTAGTCAAATGTCTTCTTCCTTTCCTAATTGAGGCATTGTGTAACACTACATTATTTTTCTGTCACAAGGGAAAACAACTTTGGAAATCAACTACTAAAAGGTTCATCAAGAACATTCTTGCCCATTTATCGAGCTAGAAAAATACCTTTATGCCACTTTTTACACTCCACCTACAACGCTCCAATCCCACCAGTGTTTTTGCCTTTTCCATATTTAGGATATCACTATATTTTTCCATACCACTAACATGTTCTTTCTCTGAATTGTTGATGTTAACTATTCTTGCTTACCATGTCCACGCTTATCTTAGAAGAGCTATCACCATAGGGCGTCTTTCTCGATACTATAACTCCACCACCATTTGCTAAGTATTGCCACATCTTTATAAGTTAACTTTGGAATACCCACCACCATTAGATTTTTGGTTTGCAATTTGTAGTCCATTAACACCCCTTTTCATGCTTAAAAAATAGAGAAAGAATATAAAGATAATGATTTAAGTATAAAGTTTACAACGGTTATTCTACATTTGAATGAGAGGAACTTCTTTTTTCCATAATGCCAATCTTTTCTTGACTTTATCCACCACCAATTGCCAAGTTCTTTGGCTTTTTGGATTTACTTCTAAAAGGACTCCCAGATAAGTAAAGGGAATTAACCCTATCCTACATTAAAGATTCTCTGTCATCTCTTTTCCCATTTGCTCATTAATCCCCACCATATTAGCACAAGTTTTATAAAAATTGTTTATTAATCCTAACACAAATTCAAAGCATCTGAATAGCCTTTAGATATTGGTTTCTTCGTCACCCTATTCCCCATGAATATAACTATGTCATTGACGAATTGAAAGTGCAAAATGCTTATTCTCAATTCCATTATAGAGATGCCATGAAAGAGATTAAGTCTCGACCTTGATTAGAATAAGATGCAACTGTGAAATCCCACCTTGTTGTGTGATGCTAAGTGAAGAAATCCTAGGTGAGCATGCATGTCTCATGTTTTGAACATTTAAACTAAGTTTTAATCATGAAAAATTTATTTTTTGACATATAAAAATGATTTACAAAGTTTTGTGTGAAAAGGAATCCAATTGGATAAGTTTTCAATGTTTGTTTTTTCTTATTAGAGCTTATCTATCGATAGATGTTCTTCATCTATTGATAAATTCAATCCAAAAAGGTTTTCTTAAAATATCACTAAAGAACATCTATGGATAGATGGTCAAATCTATCCATAAATTGCCAGATCTATTGATAGATGGACATATCAATCGATAGATAGTAATTAGAGAGCTTTTTAAAAGAACCCTAAATGACATCTATCGATAGATGGCCTTGATTTATCCTTGATCTATCGATAGATGGCACCATTTTCAAAAAAATAAAAACACAAAATGGTATTTTCAAACTTCAAACTATAAATAGGTCACATGTTTTGAGGGATGGCAACCCTCAACTATTTTTGCATGGTATTTTCTCGACCCTAAACCCTTTTTAACCCATTTTCAACCTAAATCATCATTTTTTATGATTTTAAGCTTGGTTTTGAGTTTTTATGAACAAAATGACATTTTTCAACTTTGAAATCTTTAAACCTTAATTTTTCAGAACTGAAAATGTTATCTTTATGCCCAAATTTTTATGTTGGCTGCTAAGATCAAGTGTGATTTTCCTTGGCATCAATGCTTATCTAAGCTAAGGATGAAGGATTTATGGGTTCCTAACCATTTATTATGCTAAGTAATAGTGGATTTAAGCTAGAGAATTAGTTTTAGATGAATCCAACAAGTTTCCAAAATGCTTAAAATGGGTATTACGAAATTTTAAGTCTAGATATTGATTATGATGATTGTTGAATGTTAAGAATGATTGAAAACTCCAAAGAATTTGCTGGAGAGGGAGTTGTGATTGGAGTTAGAGATTAAGTCTCCAATTTGGTGAGTGGATACTTCTTTTCAAGTAGTTTAATATGTAAAGTAAATATGATTTTTATAAAAATATTGATTATGTATGATGAACTATTGTTTCAAGAATGGTTTCTCAAAGGATTTGAGCTTCAAGGTTTTCAACTAGTTTTTGAAAGTATGATTAAATGATTTGAAAGGATGATGATTTATTATGGGAGTGACACAAGTGATTTTCAAATCGTTTGCGAATCCACTATGCATGTAAATATCTTAGTATTATTGGTTTTCAATAAAATAAGACAAGGCCCTTCAAATATTTTTCCTCAAAACAATGTGAATGGTATAACGTACACGCTTGATATGATGTAGCATGCAAGGTTTGATGGGTGCATGAATTCCATTTGCAGGATTATGAATGTATGTTATGAGATGTATGTGTTGAGAATATCGTGTACACTATAGGCTAAGCATAGAATGATTTATAAGATTGTGATATGTATGCCATGAGATGTATGTGTTGAGAATATCATGTACATTATGGGCTAAACATGAGAATGATTTATAAGATTATGAAATGTATGCCATAAGATATATGTGTTGAGAATTTCATATAAACTATGGGTTAAATATAAGAATGATTTTATGATAATGATTTTTACTTTATGATGCAAGTTATGGATGAAAACGATCCTATACTTGAGGAATCCTATGACGATAATGGAGATTAATCACTATCTGCTTGAGTGAGGTGGGGCCACTTACAGATTGTGGGTGAGATTGATATGCCACTCACGAATGATGATAGTAGGAATTGATCACCATCCGCCTAAGTGGGGTGGGACCATTCAATGGTTGTGGGTGAGGTTGATACGCCACTCATAAGAGCACACAAGGATTAATCCCAAGTAGTGAGGATTAAATTATTACCCACTTGAATGGGGTGAGCAACACTCAAAGGAAATATTTATGGTTTATTAGAAAGTTTTATGAATTGATGCTCATGAGTCTAACTTTATGATTACATGTTCATATATGTCACAATGTATGTGAGAATATGGTGAATGAATGCTTGCTTGGTCAAAAGTCTAACCTAGAGAATTGTTTCATGAGATAAGAGGACATATGGCATAATTTTGTGCAGGATTGATCTATCGATATTTAAAGGCCATCTATCAATAAATAGAAGGCAAAATACTATAGGAAATATTCTGTGTTCCATCTATCAATAGATCCCCTAATCTATCTATATATGTTAGACAAAATTCAGATTTTATGTATCTTTCAAAGATTTTTCAAAGGCAAATGATTTCCTAAGAGTTATGTAAACTTGTTTTCCATGAAATGTTAAACATATTAATTTGACAAGGACTAGATTATTTAAAATTAGAAAAGGAGGATTAAAGTGATCAATATTCTTTTGTAGAAGGACCCAAATAGAGACTTTAACATAATTAAGCATTCCATTACATATATATATATATATATATATATATATATAAAAGCAGAATAATTGAGTGAAGTCAAACATGTAGGTAGCTTTTGATACGAGAAAAGTGGAAACACATTTTTACAATGTATATAATTAAATTACATTATAGTGTTTGTTTTGTAACAGACCACTGCAATGTAAGATTGTAATACAATTACATTACAGCCAAGGGACGTAATGTGATTTCAGTTCAAAGCCAATGCAATTACATTACATTGCATTTTGTAATGTTATTACCCTTCAACTTTATTACTTTTTTAAAAATATTTTGTGATGTCATAATTAAAATAAAAATGTTAAAATAAAATATATAATATAAGAATTAAAAGTTAAAATAAAATATATAATATAAAAAATTATATTAAAAAATAAAAATAAAATATATAAGGTTATAATAAAAAATAAAAAATAAAATATATAAGGTTATAATAAAAAATAAAAATAAAATATATGACATTAAAAATATATTTAAGAGATGATATTATATAAAAATTAACAATAAAAATACAAGTATACTAAATTTACATTTTAATAAATAAGAATAATTTTAAAAATTAATATTACATTCCCATCAAAATATTTATAAACCAAACACTGCAATGTTATCTTCTTTGTATTTTAATTATTATTTTGCTTGTATACTAAACAATGTAATATTATTTTTCCTACAATCACATTATTTGTAATCACATTACTTTCAATCGTCGTACATTATAAAGTATTAAACACAACCGTAATGTAACTAGTGACTCTTGTCAAATTTTTTTGCAAAAACACTAGCTATACTTTCACACTTATAATGGTAGCAAGTATACAGCTGGGCATGAGTCTAGCTAGAACGGTGCTGGTGATGGAATAACAGGGAAATGGCTCTTCGTCCTGGCCCACGATGGAGTAGGAGGCGGGCTTGGCAAGGGTTTTTTGCCCAGCTTGCGCAACTTTAAATCTGCAAATTGTTAAAACCCCTTCCTCATTATCAGTCTTCCATTGATACATTCGTGTCAAATTTATAACAAATTAAAAATATTAAATTCTTTTCAAGTAAATATTCATATGAATATAATTAACATTAGAAAATCTTGATAAAGTGATTGCTACACTTTCTTAATCCACATAAAAAGTAAAGTTCGAATTCTGTCTCCTCTTAAACTTTTTTCATACATTAAGAAAAGAATACTAATAAATAAACACAAATCACAAGTCATAGATCCAATTAACCACAAATCACAATAAAAGAAAGGGAGGAAATTTGAAAAAGAAAATAGAAGTTAGTAAGTCATTACTGTTTTCTCTCTATAGAAATTAAAGATCGGTGCAAAGCGAGGGGTTTTAGTTGCAGGGAAGTGGGTGCAAATTACCTGCACTTGTTGGAGCCGATTGCATGGCCAGAACTGAAATTATCAACATGAAGACAATGAAACGAGGAACGAAGGAAGATAGGCGACCCATCTCTATACTTAATTCTTTCTCTTGGACTCTTGTCCGCGACCCTGTGTCACCTAACCTCCAATGAATAATAAACATAGATATAGTAGCTAGGTAATAAGCAGCTGGTAGTCAAAGTCGTCGATGTCGAAAACTATGACGAATTCATGAGCGTCAACCAATACTAAGAATGACAAGTAGGTTTCAGCCAGACCAATGACAAAACAGATACATTGCGTGTCAAAGAGAAAAATAGTATTATTTATAACATACTTGAAAAGAAGTTTCAACGGAACTTCTAAAGTATTATTTATAAAATACCTAAATAGTATTATTTAGGTAAAGAGTTTGTGAAGTTCCAAGGGGGTCTCCAAGCAGGGCGGCTTGCTTTGAAAAAAAGTGCTTAAATGATTAATCTTTTTTATTAAAATTAAAAAAAATTATCATTAGTTAAAAATTATTAAAAATGTATTTTGTTCATTAAAAATAGATAAAATAATTGAGAATTATTAACATTAAGGGAATTGAGAAGTGACCAAAAATAGAGATTTATTAGGTAAATAATTAAAAAAGTGAGAGAATACGTAATTTTATTAAAAGCCTAAAGTACTTAAATATTTAAATGAAATCTTTTTTATTAGAATTAAGAAAAATTATCGTTAGTTGGAAATTATTAAAAATATATTACGTTCATTGAAAATAGAAAAATAATTGAGAATTATTAGTATTATGGAAATTGAAAAGTGATCAAAAATATAAAGATTTATTAGGGAAATAATTGAGAAAGTGAGAGAATATGTAATTTTATTAAAAAGCTTAAAGTGCTTTAATATTTAAATGAAATCTTTTTTATTGAAATTAAAAAAAATTAACATTAGTTGGAAATCATTAAAAACATATTACGTTCATTGAAAATAGGAAAAACAATTGAGAATTATTAGCATTATGGGAATTGATAAGAGATAAAAAAATAAAGATTTATTAGGCAAATAATCCAGAAAGTAAGAGAATATGTAATTTTATTAATTATTTTGACTTTTACATAAATGAGGAAGTAAGATAAATAGTTGAAACTTAATAAAAGGTAGGAAGTGAGAGAAAATAAATATTTAATAGACATTTAATTTAAAAAATATTCTATTAATTATTTTAATTTTTATATATATGATATAAAATATAAAGAAAGATATACTAAGAAAATAATTAAGAGAATAATTGAGAAAGAAAACTTCTGATTCATTTCTCATGAGAGAAGAACTTCTAATTTATTTCGCATTATTTCTGATTATTATTGATTGTAATTTTTCATCAAGTACAAAGCCCTATTTATAGGGTTACATAAATGTGAAGGTTACATAGTATTAATGAAGATATTGATGAACCATCACAAATATATACATTGATTATTAATGAAACTTGAAAGGTTGGGAGATTCAATGGACAAATTCATTTATTCATAACACTCCCCCTTAAAATAGTGCTTTAAAATTCTACCTCATTAAAATCCTAAAGCTGAAAAAATCCAATGCGACAAAAACCAAACAGAAGGAAACAAATACAGGCATTTAATAATTTCTCCCTTTTAGATGAAACATCATTTCAAGGGCTTCATAGAACATGCTTTAAATTGCCTCATTAAAAACCTTAAGTCAGAAAAACCCAATGGAACAAATATCAGACATAAGGGAAAAAGAGTACAGTGCATAGTTTATTATCTGTTCCCCTTCAATTAAGCCATATTGCCACTTCCAAGGCATTTGATATTTTTCCGCTTCAAGGGCAAATTAATCTTGCATCTGATTAACTCGCCGCATTCCAATGCTAGATACTAATTTCTCAAATGTCGATGTTGGCAATGATTTGGTAAAAAGATTTGCAAGATTATTGGAGGAGCGAATCTGTTTAACGTCAACTTATTGACTTTCTTGAAATTCGTGAGTATAGAAAAATTTTGACGAGATATGCTTGGTCCTATCTCCTCTAATATATCCTACCCTGACTTGTGCAACACAAGTAGCTCATAAATTATAGTGGGGGAATTTATAATCGGTGTTAAGTAACAAGAATCATGAATATGTGCTATAACGGATCTCAACCAAACACACTCTCTTTCAGCTTCATATAGAGCGATAATCTCAAAGTGGTTGGAGGATGTAGCTACTAGCGATTGCTTAGTAGAGTGCTAAGAAATGGTGGTGTTGTTATAGAAAAATAAATAATCGGTTTAGGAGTGAGCCTTGTGCGAATCAGAATTATATCTTACATCAACATATCCAACTAAAACCAAAGTTAGTAGAATCCTTGGAATGATATAACCCTAAATCTATGGTTCCTCAGAGATAATGGAAGATACGTTTTATCCCATTCCAATGTCTCTAGGTTGGCTTAGAACTAAAGTGGGCTAACAAATTTATTGCAATAGCAATATCTAGTCTCATACATTGTGCCGAGTACATTAAAGCCTCAATAGTATTGAGATATGGTTCTTTAGGACCAAGTATTTCCTAATCAGATTCTCTAGGATGAAACAGGTCCTTTGGGGGATTAAGAGACCTTATAACCATAGGGGCGCTCAATGGGTGAGCCTTGTCCATGTTAAAATGTCTAAGAAATCTCTTAAAATATGTTAACTGATGGACAAGTATTTCATTTGCTTTGTGCTCAAGCTCTAGACCAAGACAAAGTTTGGTTTTACCTAAATCTTTAACTTCAAATTCACGTTTCCAGTATTCAGTAGTTTTAGATAACTCTTTTAGAGTTCCAATCAAATTCATATCATCGACATAAACTACTATTGTAGCAAACTCGATTTCTGATTTCTTAATAAACACGAATGGATAGATAGGATCATTCTTGTACCCTTCCTTAATTAGGTACTCGTTTAAGCGTTGATACCACATGCGATCGGATTACTTTAACTTGTACAAAGATCTTTGTAACTTTATTGAGAATAAGTTATAGGGAGTGTATGCTTTAGGCATTTTTAATCCCTCGGGAATTTTCATATAAATATCAAAGTTTAATGAACCATATAAATATGCAATCACAATGTCCATAAGACGCATTTCTAATTTTTCAGAAATTGCTAAGCTAATGAGGAAACAAAAAGTAATCATATCCATCACAAGTGAATATGTCTCATCATAATCAATCCCAAGTCTATGAGAGAAGCCTTAGGCAATGAGCCGGGCTCTATACCTCATGACTTCATTTTTCTTATTCATTTTCGGATAAATACCCACTTATATCCAACGGGCATTACATTGTAGGGGGTTCAAGCTACAGGCCCAAAAACTTCTCGTTTAGCTACGAAAGCCAATACAACCTAGAATGCTTCCTCCCACTTATGTCAATCTTGCCTTTGATGACATTCAATGATAGATCATGGCTCACAATTATCGTTCATAATCTCATGAGTAATTGAGAATGCAAAAACATCATCGAGGATTATATCATTCTGATCTAAAATCTCATTACAATATGTAATAGAAATCTTAGTATTCCCAAAGTCAGTGATCTGTCATGGGTTTGTGCCTTTTTAGGGGAAATGGGATTTTTTCGAGCAATTTGTGTCTCTTTAGGGGTAATGGGCTCTTTGGAGCGGATTCGTGATTCCTCCCCGTTCATTTTTGACAAACAGTTTCTTTTGATCCTAGTGATCTTCCATGCTATAGGCGTGGACCATTTTGATCCATTTCAACTTGTTCTTCAAGAACAACAATCCTAGCTGGAGCATTCACAGTTGTAATATGAGATTTCGTGACCTTTGCAGCATCATTAAATGCATCAGGAAGTCTATTGGCACTATTCTGTAGATGGATTATATGTTGCACCTCATTTTCACATTTAGGAGTTCATATGTCTAAATAGGAAAAAATTTTCTCATTGTAGGAGAAAATATCAACTGGTTTCTGCTTCTTAGCCATGGAGGCCCTAGTTATCCCTATCGATGAAAACACTTTCTCATCAAAATGACAATTTACGAATTGGGCAGTAACAAGGTCACCTCATCGTTGGTTCCATGAACTTAATAATGGATGGTGAATCAAACCCAACATAAATGCCCAAACGGTGTTAGGGACCCATTTTAGTCCTTTTTGGCAAGGCTACAAGCACACACATAGTGTAACCAAAGGTACATAAATGTGAAATATCTTGTTCATAACCAAGAACCAGCTGCATGGGGAATTATAGAAGACTAGTAGTGGAGAGTAATCTAATTAGTGTCGTCGCATGTAAAACAGTATGACCTCACTCTATATAATTGAGATTTGTTCTCAATAATAAAGTACAAGCAATAATTTGAATGCGTTTTATCGAGAATTCTGTCAATCCATTCTGAGTATGAGCATGGGAACTAGGTGCTCAACCTCGATTCCTAATGAAGTACAATACGCATCAAAGTTCTTTGATGTAAATTCACCAGCATTATCCGTCCTTACATTCTTAATTGAATAATTAGGGAAATGTGATGGAGCTTTATAATCTGTGCAAGTAAATGTGTAAAGGCAACGTTATACATAGATAACAGATAAACAAGAGACCATGTTCAAGATGCATCCACTAATACCATATATTATTGAAATAGTCCACTTGCCAGTTGTATTGGTTCAAAAAAATTACCTTGGATTCTTTGCAAGAATGAAGGGGATTCAAGATTAATCTTTGTTATAGAAGGTTTAGTAATGAGCTTTCTTTGTGAACATGCTTCACTAGTATAATCCTTGGACAACAAAACCTTTTTATCTTTTAAATAGTGTCCTCTAGTATTTTGGATTATCCTACACATCTTCGTAGCTCTTAGGTGACTTAAGCAATCATGCTAAAGGCCAAACTCACTAGGATTTACCAATCTCCAAAACAGGGTAGCGTAGACTTCAATAGCTTTAATAGGGACAAAATACAATCCTTTAGTTGAAGCTTCTAGCTTATCATGGATGGTCTTCTAGCCCATATTATAAGAGGTGATACAAAGAAATTCTTTATTTTACTCATCAATTGTCTTAAGATTGTACCTATTATGACTTACATCTTTGTAACTAAGTAGATTTTTCTTCAATTTACTATTTTGCAATGCATACTCAATATGCA